CATATATATATATATATATATATATATATATATAATAAAAGTACACCAAATCAAAACAAAAAATCAAAGGAAATATTTCCTCAAAGATAAGGTTAGGTTGCTAGGAAAAACAAATTAAAAACTTTTAGTCAAGACAAAAATGATATGAAGATGGTTATTTCTATTAAAAAGATTAATGATTAATGTGCAAAAGATTATACAATAGTGATTATACTTATTGTTGGAGTGAGAAGGTGCAAAATATTATAGAAAAAAAAAGAAATTTGCTTTCTTTAAGGATTATCAAAAGATCAATACTCCAATGACATAAAAAATTATAAGAAAGCTAGAATACTTGCAAAGTCAAAAAAGGTATGATTTTTTTTATGTATATAACAGGTTGGGAACAAAGGAAAGAGGAAGGTAATGTATAAAATAACTAAAGCAAGATATGGAGATATAAAAACCTTAAACAGATTAAATGCATTAAAAATTGAAAATAATAAGACAGAAAACCTCCTTTGAAAAACTATTAAAGATGAAATTTTGTTGTCATGGTGAAGAGATCTTGGGAATATTATATGACACAAGAATATTACAGAGGCAAAAGGAAAAATTTTTTTAAAAAAAAAATTATATTAATTATGTTGTATGGATTCAATAATCAGCATGACAAAGGTTATAAATGGATATATTGAGCATGGTAGTGATGCGGGGCTTAGAAGGGCTGGACCAACAGGTCGAGCCAGAGAGGCTAGGGCCGGCCGATTGTTCCAACCAGCATTGCCGCCCAAGGGAGACAATACCCCCTTTCCTATTCGGTCGCCACCTCCCTTCATATTCTATCTCTTTTCTATTTCCTTACTATTCATCCCTTTCCTTTACTCTTACCTTCTATTTATAGCATCTATAATATAAATGCTGATTTGCAAGATTATAGGTTAGTTTTTCATTGTTGTTGATTCCAGATCTCTGCTTTCGGGGTTTTTCCCTTTCGGGGGTTATATCCGACAGTGAGAAGGTGCTACGACTGTAACTCATCTTAGGAGGTGATTATCTCTGCTCATTCCATCTTTTCCTGTTGTCGTCCAATCTACCGCAGTCCATCTACTCGCTGCCAATTTCATTCCGCATCTTTTGCAGGCCACCCCTTCCTCCCGCATCTTCCAGCAGGCCATCCTTCCTCCAGCTCTCTTTCAGTAGGCCGGCCTTCGTCCAACTCCCTTTTTGAAGTCCGCATGATCTCCTGCACCTGCCAGATAGGCTGCCAGCATCACCCACTCCAGCTAACGCCGCATACAGCTACTTCTAGCCCTTCCGGCAGCCCGTTGTTACTCCCATGTCCCGATCCATTGGCTTCAATAGAGACTCACCTAAATCGATGATGGAACCCAGGGAGAGATTACCATGCTCTAGAGAGTCGGATTGGAGATAGGGACGAATATTTGAATTTGTTCCGCACGGAGGACGTCAACGACAATTAATACCGATCATGCCGCTTTAGAATGCAATATCAGATTAGCATTGTTTTTTTTTTTTTTTTTTTTTTTTTTATTTTTCTTCCCAGTTTTTTGTGTTTTTTTTTTGATTGTCTTTCCTATGTTAGGAGTCATGTAATTTGTACTTATACTGCCCCTTTAATATCAATAAGATTACCTGCACAATTTCCAAAATCTACACCATTCAGTGTAGGAAAAAAAAAGTTTAGGCAAATAGAGAAGGAAATCTATCTAAAACAAGTAAACTGGAGGGAGGGGGGGACTGCAGATATCAATTAGTCATCAGACCCTGCATTGGGAGAAACTTCATTCGTTAAATAATTTATTAGAAGTTTAGATTGAGCATATAAGAACCAATATCATATAAAATGAGAATTTCACAGTTTTTGTTATAATTCTACTATAAACTTTCATTTAACAATACTGCTTAACTTTTTTCATCAGGCATTAGAGTCGAAAACATAAGACGGAAACAGAAAAAAAAAATTATAAAAAATATTCCAAGGAGATGTGTGGCATACGCTGCTTTTTGATAAGCACTTCCATTTTCCCATGGCGGGTCAATAACAATTAGATTAAAACCTTGATCGGAACAACCTGTCAATTGCATCACAAATGGTAAGGCTATCCATCAAGGCTATCCATCGTTGCAAAACATTAGGAGCAGAGATTATGAATATTACCGGGAATCAGATTATGGATTTGTCTCAAATCAGACTTCCCCACGAACATAATATTTTAAGTAATAGAAAAAGAAAAAGTAAGATTTTTATTACAAGACGAAAAAGGCAAATACATATTCATCATACAAGGAATAATGTTTACATATGTACATGCAAATATTTTGTGCATGAATAGAAACATGCAGCATACATTGGAGTGTTCATGCAGCATACATTGGAGTGTTCATGCATACATACATGCAAAAATGAAATATTTTTTACTTCTAGTTTGCATCCTTAAGTTCCAACATGATAATTTTTCAAAAAAACAGGTAGGGAATCCAAGAAACATGCAAAGCAGCTTTGTTTAGCAAATGCTGAAAATCTTCATCTTAAGAAAATCAAAGGAATTAAGAGAACAAAATGACTAAAATTTCAAAGAATTTAATCTAATCAACCAGGAAGGATTGCTTTACAGTAACATACCGTATAAAAACAACTGTTGCGGGGTAATATGTATCTCCGGTTAAGGAATTCAGCATCCACATCATTAGATGTGTCATTACAAATTAATTCATTAAAAAAAGGAACAACTTTCATTCCACTGGACTCCACATGTTGCAAACCTGATGAGCCAAAGATATTTATTGTTAGATAGCTTATCGATTTTTGAAAGACGTAGATGAAGTTGATGCTTCAACAAATAAAAAGTAATGTTCAAAATGTTTTAATGGATTCATCAGGCTACAAGCAAAGGACAACAGTTTCTAGTTTTGTTTTTTGGAAATCACGAAATCTTTTTTTTTTTCTTTTCATTCTACAATTCATAGAACAGGTGATTGGAGTGCCATATTTGGCATAAAAGTAACTTAGAAGGCCGGCTAACGGATAGACGTTTCAATTGTTTCACTAATGATTTCTTGAGTGAGATGTTTTATGATAAGTCAGATGGTTTAACAGGACAAAATAAATAAAGCTAAATTACAGCTAAAGCTGATGTTCAGATAGCATAAATACTAAGGGCAAATTTGTTTCACTACAAGTAAGAAGTGTTTATCTGAGCTACAATGTGTTTCATTTTTCTTCATCCTTGTACTAAATTACATAACATTATTATTATTTTATGCAAAAATTATATTCCAACCCATCAACCCATTATAAATAGTACTAATCATGTCTCTTAAGATTGAAGCAAAATAATCTCCTTTTTGAAGGCATGTTTCAAGAATAGAAAATTTCATCTGCTTTTAGCCAAACAAACACTTGAAATCATTCCTGGAAGCGAGAATTAGGGATTTGTTTGAAGTAAAATGGGTGTCTTGTGTTTTGTTTGCCACCCTAGCTAGTAATATCCACTCTGACACCATTCTAGCTTGTCATCTACAAGTGCCCAAGCACCTACCACCATTGCCTTAACCCTCACAGTTGCCTAGACACCATCTCCAAACCTACAAATGTCGTTTTATCTCACATGATCTCACGTCACCTTTAGTTTTTTATTGCTTCTAAGACTCCTATCTTGATTTACAAGTTTTGTAAATAATTTGTTTGTTTCACTCCCTTGGTCTCCTTACTAGCTTGACTTTCCCCCTTTTTATTTTTGTATTTAAACTACATTTGATATTTTTTATGAGGTGGAGGATAATAAAAATATTTGGTTATTTATAGCGGTGGAGTATAATAGTATTACCCAAATGATGTAAATATCAGCTCCTGTTTTGAAAAACAGAATTGCTTATTATATTAAAAAATTTTACCTAAAACATTGAGGAGATAATCTCACCACTGTATTTTAGCTAAACAACCCACTCTGTATTATAAACTGAACCAAACAAAAAAGATAATAATTTCAATGTATTTATTTTATTGTTAATCAAACAGCCATGACTTGTCAAAATACACTCCATTTAATTTACTATGCATTTTGAAAATACATGTACTTTTTAATAATTTCAAACAAAAACCTCCTAATCACTTCCAAACACTTAAAATAAAACAAACACATTCTAAATGAAGATGATGCCACCACTTTATATTTCTTTTATTCCATTTGTAACACATTGTCTATGACCTTTTCTTATGAATATCTAAACATTAAATAGCATGACATATGGTAGAGAGAGCTGCAATTTTCAAAACGCTCTGTATTTTTAATTAAGATAACTGCACAATTAAATAGTTTTGTTACACAATAGAATTCAATTAAAAGAATTTTTTTTCAATTCAGTGATTAAATCTCCTCTAATTTTTCTTAGAATCTATCTTTTATCTCAAGTATATTATGGCATACATGGAAAATTATTCTCACTCAACTGGGTGATAAGTTCTTGTTATGATATATAACATCAAATGTTTCACTATAGCACATATTTAATTGCAAGGTTCTAACATATTTTCTTAGAGAGAGAGAGAGAGAGACAGACAGACGGGCACCAGTTGTACTGATAGACCGGACCTATTTTCTTACAACGTCTCTAGAGGCCCATTGACTAAACTAATTTCTCATGATTTTGATTTTAAGGTTGTGAAATTAAGTGTACATAAAGTTCATGGATGGTGTATGCTGTCTTTGAATTCGCTTTAATTGTTTACTAAATTAGAATCGCATCTATTCTCTTTTTAACTTTATCATGCCAGCCAGATTCTCCTACTTCAATTGTTAGCATTTCTTCCCTGTTTTAATAAGTATGCAGAACAAAGCAAAATAAACAACTCCAGATCCAAAGTCTGAACAAAATTGATAGCAATATGAGACATTTTGTTCAAAAACAGTCTTTTACTTGAAAAAGCAAGAAGCATTTACAAGTTATATGCATACCACACAATTCATGTAAACTTATTTATCTAACACCTAATTTTTTAATATTTACATACTAGCACCCAAATCTTATGCATTTACTTATCTTACACCAAAACTTTGAATTTTACACCCAAAGGACACTTCCTTGAGTATGAAAAGGTGGAAATAATGTAATCTACCTTTTAATACATAAATACATAAAAATTGAAATACACCATTTCATAAATAAGTCTCTAACACCTAAGAATTATAAATATAAATATCAAACCTTAGGTGTCAGATGCATAAATACATAAAAAATGTGCGGTATGTATGTAAATTCAAACGCCTGCGTTCTGAAGCAGTGTTTTCCGAATCAGACAAGAAGCCTAACCTTCCTCTTGCACATTTTCAGTGCTCCCTTCCATTGGTATAGATATCCGGTAAAGAGGTGCTTGCCATAGTCTTCCCAACTCAATAAATTTGAGCTCCGCTTCCAGCTCTCTTTCGTCAAGACTGAATTTCTCATCTTTAACTAAATTAGGAAGAAAAGCAAGAAGCTCAGTTGCAGAAAGTAATGCCTCGTGAGCCTTGAGCAAAAAAGGCCGAAGTTCCTGGCAAAGAAAACCTAACCAAAGTCATGTTTCGACGTCATCTAAGCGGTAAATCAAGAAAAAGTGCATCTAAACGGAGATTATTCACCTGATGACGTCTCTCCGCCACTAATTCTTTCTCGTTGAGGTCATGGTGCCTCCTCCGCTTCCTCTTCTTCTTCTTGAGCACAGAGGAATGGTTCGCTGCTGTGTTTTCCATTCTCCCTTGTCCCGATGAATGGAAGGTGCGGCAGTAGTAACCGGAAGAAGAAATCGAATGGCGGGAGTAGGAAAGGTTGAGAAGACGAACTGGATCCAGAAAAACGGCGTTGATTCCCGACAGACGATAGATTCCGGAGGCTAAGAACAAAGAGAGCTCGTCGGAGAGCTTCTTCCCTTCCATTGGGAAAAATTCGCATTCGAAATTTAATGCTTTGATATTTATCATTTTAAAAATATATAATAATGAAATAATAAATTTAAATTTACCATAAATATTAATTTTATAGAAGAGTATTGTTACATTTTTCAAACCCATCATTTAAAAAAATTATAAATTAGTATGAATATTCTACTCCGCATTTTTTTTTTTGTTTCAAAATAAATTATATTTTAGGGGCTTTTACATATATGACACTCAATTCTTACGGATTTAGTCTCACAACCAAAATTTTTATTTTTTTTTATAATCATGGCACTATTTATATTTTTTAATGGTCAAATCAAATTTTTCAGCCCCCAATCACCCTCATGTGTAACTATTCTAGAATCTCCGTCACTACCAACAAATTGGCCAGAGCAGATTCGAATCCTTAACCTGAAAGAACTTATGACCTTCAAAGAGGCTGTTATACCAACAGACCATATATATATATATATATATATATATATATTGTTCGCTTTTTTTGTTTTTTCCAATTTCTTATATATTTACATATCTAACATCAAAATTTTACCTTTTCACATTTATATCATCAAAATCTTTCATATCCCATTAATAGTACCACTGCCTAAATTTTAAAAAAGTGAAATACACATTTTCATATAGGGATAAGATGGCATATATACATACAAATTGAAGTTTAGGTGTTAGATAAGTAAATACATAGCATTGAGTGGCACATAAGTAAATCTTAATATTTCAAATTTTTTACATTCCTATGCACTTTGGAGTGATTTCACCAACATTTAGCATGTAAAATGTATTCTACACATCACTACAATGTTCATGGTTATGCAATGTTTTCTTTACCAAATTTTAACCTGTAAAATGATACACCATCAATTCTTCATTCAATACAGCTGATTCCATGGTTTACATACAAGTTATAGAAACTTTACACACATACCACTCAATTCTTATGTATTTACATATGAAACACCTAAATTATACATAAACACCTAATTTACATATGAAACAACTAAATTATACATATACCACCTTGACCATGCATGAAAAGATGTATATCACTCTTTAAAAGTCAAAATAGTGTTATTTTTTAAATGATGTGAAATATTTGGATGATAGAAATGTGAAAAAGGTAAAGTTGGAGGGTTAGATATGTAAGCACAAATGAATTGGGCGGCACGTATGTAATGTCCCAAAAGTTATGTATCCTTATATTGATGAACTACATATTATGAATGAAAATAATGGCCATGTCAATTGAATGTACTAATAGTACATATGTGATGAAAAGATTAGTTCAAAAAAGCAATTTACATTAAATTTTGAACGTAAATAATTGTATGTATGTAATGGACATAAATTGCATACCCATCAATCTCCTAATTACACCATGTGATTTTGAAGTTGCCTATGTTTCTGAAACCGGCAGAATCACAATTCAGTTCTGAATTCAGATTCATCATCTTTAACAGCTCTTAAAACTACTGAAACAAAAATCATAAAGCAGCCATGAACTAATTGCTGAAAGAAAATACAATTTACATATAGTTTAAAAGGGGGTCTGATATGTAATATAAGGGAAAAGAAACATTCTAGGCTTTCTATCTTTCAGCCTTTCCCTCCAAAAATCACATAGCTCCAGGCACCAAAAATAATCGAATAATGGGCGACTCAACACAATAACAGACTTACATGTAATTTAAAAGAATAATTAAGGTTATGAGATCTCAGCTCTTGGTTTGGCCGAGCTCCACATCGGATTCCGCAACATCGCTCATTCGATCCTTGAGAAGTTTCACGTTCTCCTCGTCGCTCGTGGCAGCGGCGGTGAGCTTCGCCAGCTTCTCAGATTCGATGGCCCAGCTGTAGACGATCATGCCGACCACCGCGACGAGCATTCCGAGGATGTTCTTGATGGTCAGGGCGGAGTCAAATAAGATCCATCCGAGAATTAGGACAAATATGGTCTTCATGTGACCGAGGACTTGGAAGGTTGTCGCCGAGAAGCGGCCGATGCAAAGATATTGGCTCATGTTGCAGAAGACGGCCAACGAGCACGAAAGAATTATAAATGACTGTAGAAATGAAGCAAAATAGCAAATATAAGAAAAATTATTTAGGATTCTGTAAGTTATAATTCATCATGTAGTGGAGAAAACGAAAGAATTAACATTGCATCAAAAGTAACACCATCATTATCTTCTTAAAAAGTAAAATACACTTTTTTAGCATAAGTTTATGCACCATGGTATGATGATAAACAAAAACTTACATGCATAGCATCCGATTCATATGAATTTTCATATCTAACAACTAAATTTTGCCTTTTACATTTATACTACCCAAATCTTTATATCACATAAAAAATACTACCATTTTAACTTTTATAAAGTGAAATAAACCTTTTCATGCAGGCAAGGTAGTATGTATGTAAAAATTGAAGTTTAGAGGTACGATATGTAACTACATATGAATTGAGTGGTATGCATATAAATCTTCTGCAACATTGAAACCCATTTTGTTCTGAAGCATGAGTTCCATAGCAGTGTATAATATCAGATTGAGTGCATTACAAAACATTGATTACATGTAGGGGCATTTACATACATACCACTCAATTCCTATATATTTATATATCAAACATCTAAATTTTACTATTTTACATTTATACCGCCAAAATCTCTCATATCACATCAAAAAACACCATCATTTTAACTCTTAAAAAGTTAACCACACCTTTTCATGCATATGTAAGTAGACATGTATGTAAAAACTGAAGTTCAGGAGTTACATATGTAAATACAAAAGAACTGAGTAGGGTATGTTTGTAATGTAAATTTTCCTAAATTAAGAAAAAAAAAAGAGTAAATGATGCTTACAAATGCTCCAGCAGAGAAATGGTACTTCAATAATGATTTCCCGTTGAGGCAGTAATCTATGAAAGGGCCCAACACGAGAAGAGAAGCAGCCTGTATTGGAGCTGTCTTGCTCAGTAGCTCAAACGAACCAATGCAGTATTTCTTCTGAAAGGAGCCAATAGTCTGGAAGAAAACAAGCAGCATGATAATTTAATTGAATTCAATGCTCCGGCTGCAATTTTTTTGTTATTTTCTTTTAAGAATATGGAAAATGATTATAGTGCTCATTAGATTAGAGCATGAACACTTAACTCTATATGATTTGGCTTCATTAAATACATTCATTAACTCTCCTTCCCAAGTTAAAATGACAAAGGGGTATGCAAAAGAACCCAATTCTCAACTACTTACTATTTAGTCCTTATTATCAAATGCCACAAAACCCATTTTCTCCCAACTTTAAGGACACCTTTTCATGGAAAAATACAGTGATTGGCTATTGGCTCCTATTAAAAGGTATTACTAGCTTGTTATGAAATAGTGGGGCCATGATGTCATAGTTGAGGTTAAGAAAAAAGCTAACAGGCTATTAAAAATTTCATATCATTACTATAGTATATAAGAAAATAATTAGCTTATTTAAGCGAGTAAACATATCGGACGTGGAATCATGACATGAAGCAAAAAAATCAAGGAAAAATAATACATTTTTTATGTAAGACTAATGTTAAGCTAATCCATTGTAAATATGAAGTAGGAAACATAAAGACAAATGTTAAAATGTTGAAGGGCTAAAATGTTCAAATCTTTAAATGCTTACAATTTGTTGCAGCGATGTGCAGAAGACTGCCACACAAGCGCAAAGAAAGCCCTTCATATTAATCTCTACATCAGTCACAGTACAGATACCAACACCTAAAGCCACAACAACCACAGACATAATCACTTTGGAAGAGTAGTGTTTGTTGTTTAGTATCCACTCCATCATACAAACCACTGGTATTATGCTCAACTTTGAGATCTGAATTTCACATAGAAAAAAAAACAAATTATTGCAACATATAAACCTTTTGCCTAAGCATACTTAACTAAAGAGAAAACAAGTGTCAAAATAGTACTCTTAACTTTTTTTAAGCCAATTTTAATCCATGATCTATAAAAGTATCAATTTAGTCCACAAACTCCTTTAATTGGGACTAAAATAGTCCTCTCTGAGATTATTTCAGCCCATACTTACAGAGTCTGAGGGACGCTTTTCTAGACTCAATGGACTATTTTGACACTTCACTCCTTAACTAAATAATAGATCTACAACAAACCTGGTAAAAACCAACGGAGTTAAGCATTAGACTTAAATTCATTGCGGTAATTGAAAGATTTGCAACAATTGAAAACCATAGAAGCTCCCACAAAGGAAGCTGCTTGGACACGGATAAACCAGCAGCATTTGATGCCCAGCCAACAAGAGCCGTTACACTGAAGTGGAACCCAGTTAAAGTCGTTGCTGCAAAGTTCAAGGCAGACAAAAAAAGGTCAGACAAACTCACAGAAGAGAATCGAATAAAAAAATTATAAAAATGCTTAAAAAAACTCTTAATTACAAATAAAACGGCCAAAAAATCACAGCTTTCCATCAACGTTCGGTTAAAGATGCTTATGCAACATTTCTCAAGCTTGAAATAACTAAAAGAAGGTTCTAAGTCCTAAATCAAACAACAACAAGGCATAATAAATCTTTTAAAGCCTTGAACATCAGAAAAGCCTGAATCTGAAACTCGTTACAGATCTGACCTTTATTTCCTTTAATTAACAAAATCAAATCCTAAGCCGGAAAAGACTACCATCGGCCGCCCAAAAATCATAAAAGAGAGAATACCGAAGCTGAATCCGTAGCCGCTAGGCGACATGAGCTCCTTGTTAGCCATGATAATGCCAACAGAGCTGACCACATTCATTCCCCAAGCCCCGGCGTTCGAAACCCGCGGCTTCTTCTCGGAATCCATCCTCGCCTCTAGCCTCACCCAAACCGAGCAGTAATAAAAAGCGGCAGAAGCTGAAGAATTGGGAAATGGATGAGCGGCGGGGGGGCCTAAGAAGTGTTTAAAACTAGTTGAGGAAAGATGTGATCTTTGGGAAACCCTTGACAGCGAAGACCGTCAAAGGAGAAGAAGAAGATTTCAAACCCTAGGGCACATCGCTTCTACGCGGAGACGAGCTTGGATTACTTGTGAGAAAGAGGTGTAGAAGTTTCTCAGCGAAGACTGGAGTGCCGGGGAAGGGAGGAAGAGCCGACGAAGGAATCGGCATAGAATACTTTAAAAAGGAGGCTCTTTTCTCTCCCCCTACAACATCTCTGCTCGCGCTGTCATTTGTCTTCTCTTTCTATTATTATTATTATTATGTTTTTTTTTTTTTAATGAATTTATCAAGTAGTCTTAAATATATACAAGCCGTATTTATTGTAGCAAAATATAAAATAAATAAATAAATGCAGGGGCATTTACATAGATACCACCCAATACCTATATATTTACACAACACCCTAAAATTTATTTTGTTACATATATACCACACAAATCTTGCATGTCAAAAGTATCACTATTTTAACCTTTAAAAGGTTAAATATATCTTTTCATATATAAATAAAATAGTATATATGTATATATTGAAGTTTAAATGGTATACATGTAAATACATAGAAATAGGGTGGTTGAATGTAAATCTTCCAAAAATATAATGTATATTTGAATGCATAAGAATCTCATGCATAAAATTAATTATTTTAATCCAAATAATTAGAACTTCAAATAAGTACCATCAAACTTGTATATATTTATATGACACAAAAATATTTCTATTTAAACTTATAGCACCCTAATCTCTAATTATCATAAAAATTCTATTAAAATTAACTCATATAAAATAAACCACATATCATGATCTAGATATGTTGATGTGCTTTGGATAATATTGTAATATAAAAAAATATACAAGTTTGTATATTAGATTTGTACATAAAAAGTCTAAGTATGTAATTCCCTCTATTTATATTGTTATTATAAAATTAATTAAAAAATAAAAATCTTTATTTGAAGTATGAGAATATATGATACTAATTTCGAGAGCATTAGACGTGTATCATAAATTAAAATGATCAAAGCAATAGGAAGTAAATAATTATTAAATGCTCTATTTATTTTCTTTTGATTTGTTATTTTTTAATTTAATATATGCTTGATGTGCTTCATTTTTTGTATCTCAAACTATTTTTAGAAGAAAATTTTGCTCCATGTGATGTGTCTCTTTTTTTTTGTACTTAGTGACTTGACGTTTTGTTTTGAAAATTATGTTCATTATTTGAATAAAAAAAAGAATAGGAAAGTAAATGGTTTTGTATTTGCAATTCATCTTTTAATTCATTTTTTATGTTTTTTTGGCATGTCGTAGCGGTGAATTGCAATGATGTCTGCAGGTCACAGGAGCTGAAGTCAGGAGCTACACTAGTTGTGAGTCATGTGGGTCGTAATTTGTCATGTAGGTTGTAGTGGTGGGTTGCATAACATTGTTAGGTAGTAGGGTCAGAGTTCGAAACTGCACGAGCAGTGAGCCACAAGAGTCATAGTTGGTCACTTGGGTCGTACTGATGAGCTGTGATGTCGTTTGTAGGCTACATGGGATAGAATCAGGAGATACACGAGTTGTGAGCCACATGGAGCGTAATTGGGCACACGGGTCGTAATAGCGAGTTGTGATGACATCCGTAGGCTGTGAATGTCAGAGTTATGAGCTATATGAGTTGTGGACTATGTAGACCATTGTTGGTCACATGAGTCGTAGTTGTGAGTTGTGAGGAGAGAGCTTTAGGGTTATGGAGAAGTTGTCGCTTTTAGGGTGTGTTGTTACACCTTCGTGATTTGCTTCTGCATAGTGCATTGGACGACATATTACTCTACTGGGTGTTTTGTTGTTCCACAATGCACGTTGTGGCTCCACAAGGCACTTTACTGCCAGAAGCAAGTGGTGGTCGACCGCAGACTATGGTGGCTGGCGAGCGGTGGTCGACAGTTGTTGATGCTAGTAAGAATGAGAGGTTCCGCCCAATCTACAGTGCAGAAGTAATGTTGGACTTTAAGACAGTTGTTGATGCTAGTAAGAATGAGAGGTTTCACCCAATCTACAGTGCAGAAGTAATGTTGGACTTTAACCCTTCCAAAGTTCAATCTTCTTCTAGCTCAAGGCCTCTGCACCTCTCAAGAGGTGTGTAGATATCTATTTATAAAGTGTGGAAGTGACCTCTCTATAAATAAAGAATGAATTCAAAGCACTCAATTAGACAACTCAGCGTGATTCTCTTGATTAGACAACATTCGACGAATAATTGTGTGTCTTAATGATGTCAGAATTGGATAATATTGGATTCATTAGATTTGTCTTACCGAGATGCTCGATAACTATGAGCTTGTTAGATTTGGAATTTGCTCGACCTTCAAATGCATACTGAAAGCTTCTTAAAGTGGTTTAGTGCCTTGATCTAGGCTTGATTTGAGTTTAGTTAGATCAAATTTGGTACAGTTGAGTTCGTCTAGTCGAGTTGATCAGTTTGATTATAGGTTTGTTGAATTTATAGTTTTAGATGATTCTTAATTGAAGTTTGAACATTTTTTCACAAAAAAAAAAGATATCTTGAGATTTATGTTATGTCTCGAAATTTATATCAAATGATAAATCAATCGATGGCCAATCAAATAAAATACATTAAGATTTTTAATTTTTAATTTTTATTCCAATTTGTACCAGTTTCAAGGCGTCAAATATCTCCCTCCTGTCAAGAGAGTTTTGAGAGCAACAAGATTAGTGGTTAGCCGGCAAATCGAGTTATCGCCACCCATGGGAAACATACCCGTCCACTGGACTGCAAATTCATTCCTAAGACCTCACAATGCTGATGACAAGATCTCATTATCTTAGATGAATTTGAAAGAATTCATAGTTCAATTCAAATTTGTGCATAACAATACCCAAACGGTAGTATGAGAATTTTGAGTAAAGAAGATACAAAGAGGAAGAGAACATGAGATATTTTATATATGTGCTTGAAAATACAATGATGGATGTAAAATACTAATTTGATCTTGTGTCATGTGTCTTTATGATTTTTAATAGTCACTTAAGAGGGTCTATTCTTATTTAAATAACAAATGCAGGACATATTTACTGTAGACACGTGGGAGTGGTGCTCATAATACACCATAGTGGTTTCATTCGTGAGTGCATTCAGGTATTGCTGATTTAAATTCATCGCTCATGAACATGCCAATTTCTTTTGAGCCCCTAGGTTAATTTCATTAAGGTAGTCAAGCGCCTTTCATTCATGAGTGCATTGCAACTTC